TGTTATTTCTATTATTTAAAGGAGTTAAAGTTTAACGTTTCAAAGGAGAAATGATAATTTTTCAGTGTAAACTCAACCAAACGGGTTTAACAAAAATATCACATCCACAGATTTACACATTATTTGTTTACGGTCCCTCTATTTCTGGACAGTTGGGCCTGTTCCTTTATTCCATGAGACATTAAGCAGATAAAAGTTCTGGAGTTGATTCCAAGTTTGTATTTGTATTTAGTAGCTGCTCATGGGAAGAAAAACACCAACTGACAGCAGAAACTTAAGCAGTGGCCAAATCAACAACTTCCATTCTTTAAGAACACGCTGGAGATAGATAGATAGATAGATAGACAGATAGATAGATAGATAGATAGATGGATAGATAGATAGACAGATAGATAGATAGATAGATAGACAGACAGACAGACAGATAGATAGATAGATCGATAGATAGATCAATCGATAGATAGATAGATAGATAGATAGATCGATAGATAGATCAATCGATAGATAGATAGTCAAGAACACTCATTGTCAAAGTTTACAACTGAGGGTTTACCACAAAGTTCAAACCACTGATAACAAACACTCAAGAACAGAAAGTCCAGATCAGAAACATCTGAAGAAGTCTGGTCAGTTCTGGAAAACAAGATTAACTTGAACCAGAATGAAGGGAAGAGAAAATTAGGAAGAAAAAAAAGAACGTCTCATAATCGAAAGCCACAGACATGGCGGAGGAAGGTTTCAGGCGTGGACACGTGCGACTCACTGATGTTCTTTGATTGACGGCTGATGAAAGCACCAGGATGAACTCTGTGTCGGGATAAATGATTCTGCTCAGATTCACACAAACGCTGCAAAACTGATGCTCGATGCTTCAACATACAAATGGATGAGAACCCAAATCATACTGTAATTCTTTGTTTCACTTTATATTTTTATTTTATTTACACATTTACATCGAATGTGCTCAATTGTTTAGTTATTTTACTAAAATGCAGAAATAAACTTTGGACCTTGATATTTCCTCCGTTGGAACTTGGGAGAGGAATTTAATATCTTAACTGTTCTTCCACATTCTGGATCATTTCAGCAGCGGCGAGTTTCAGAGCGAGGATCAGGCATCACATGGTTTCAAAGCCTCGCCCACAGAGAGAGAGAGAGAGAGAGAGGGTGATTAAGTGAACCAGCCTCAGGTGCGACAGCTTGTCACACACCTGAACTGTGGTTTTATCAAACCTCCTGAGAAACTTCAAGTATCTGACAGCGTCTGGTGCACGTGAGGTTTCTGCTGCGGCTTCATACACACATTTAGATGTTGTAGTTACACAGTGGCTGCATATGATTCGTCGTTTCGCAGCATCAGGAATCAAAGCTGAGTTCTCTCTAGAGCTCCAGCAGCAAATATGTTTGCTTGAGTTGTCCGGCTTCCAGTTAGTTTTATTTCCCTTGTTTCTTTAACAAGTAGGATCAGCCTACGCAGGTTTTATTGTCTATAGAGGATTTTAACAGGTTGGAGGTTCCCTGAGTCCGGTTGGGTTCAGGTTTAGACAGGGAGGCCATGAAGGAGGAGATCGCTGCTGCCGTGTTCTTTGTGGCTCGGCTGGTGAAGAGATATGGTTGTCTGGATAATGACGGCAGGGAGAGGTTTGCCGCTGCACTCACGTCAGCTCTGTTTGAGAACTACAAGAACCACTGGCACCCAAACGCACCCACCAAGGGTCAGGCCTACAGGTCAGTAAGACAGCTCTCCTTCTCACTCCTTCCTCTGGCTGTTCTGGAAATCGTCCATAATGTACTTTTCTTTCAGCTGTTTAGTTATATTGAACAATCAAAGATGTAGAATTGAAGTGGAGAAGAGTCAGTGACTCTGAATATGTACCAGAGAATGAAATAAATCTTTGGATGAGGCCTCGGATGCTTTTCAGTCAATAGAAACTTTTCCCCTTCTGCCGTTGAGATTGTTCAACTTTAATTGAAAATATCGTCTAGAATAAAAAGTGAAAACTTTCTACAAATGAAAACCTGTTTAAAGTTATTTTCCTCAGCGCAAAATATTCACAGTGAAATCTGCTCAGTAACGGCGATGTTTCCCAAAATGCATCTTACCAATTACCCTGCACACAAGGAGTTGCTGTCTGACAGTTTTGGTTCCTTGATGTAGAAACAAGCTTCTAAATGTCCGGCTCCTCTTCTCCTAACTCCCTGTGTTTTTCAGGTGTCTGCGTATGAATCGTGTGCGGCTGCAGGACCCGGTGCTGCAGCAGGCCTGCGAGCGCAGCACGGTGCGGTACGAGGATCTGGGCCTTCCCCAGGAGCTGACTGTGTGGGTTGACCCCGGAGAGGTGTCCTGCAGGTCAGGCACCACGATCTCAGTGTGACCCTGAAACCTGCAGCTCTGACTTTTTGAAACCTCTTTCCCACCGAGGCCGGTTCGGAGCCAGAACCTAATCTGGAACCAGTTCTTTGTGTTTCAACGAACAAAGAGCTGGCTCTTCATGGGGGCTGGATTAATGCGACCAACCAAAACTTAGTTGTGATGACCAGTTTTAAAAACCCGGCCTGCTCAGCATATTGTGACATAATGTATGCAGCAGTTAACTGGTGTCAGATTATTTTTTATTTCTCGCAGGTATGGCGAACGCAGCTCTCCATTCTGCGTCTCAGTGGTGGACAGCTGTCGCCGTGGTGGTGGAGAATTCTCCCGGCGTGTCCACGACGCCGTGGAGCGGGCGAGCCTTGACGTCGCATCAGGAAGCTCCTCCGACGAGGAGGAGGCCGGTGGAGACAGCAGCATGAGCAGCAGCAGCATGGTCAGCAGCAGCAGCAGCAGCAGCAGCAGCAGCATGGTCAGCAGTTGCAGCGTCCTATCGGTTCTCTGCCCTGCTCCGATCCCACCCAACAACCCTGAACCCAAAACCATCCCGACTGTCAGCAACCCCAACAGCGTCTACCGGGTAGGTTGACCATGAAGGAACAGTCACAGTTCTATTTGCAGATGATTTGATCTAAATCAATGAATCCTGTTTTATAAGCATATTGTATGGGGGGGGGTGGGGTTACAGATCTCTTGTCACCGCCCGCTATCCCTCGCCTCCTCTCATCCTCAGTTCAGCGAGTTCTCTCCCGGCGCCCCTCAGACCTGGCTGAGGGAGAAGCGGAAGGCCTTCGCTGGTGACTTGTTCCCTCCTCACCCTCCTCACCCTCCTCCTCACATTCCTCCTCCAGCCGGAGGCCCGGGCTCTCAGTTCTCTGTCCAGAAAGGCTTCAAGTCCTATCGAGCCACGTTTACCTTCACTGGGCCTCGTGTTGACAAGTACCACTGGGTCAGCAAGTCTCGATCCTAACGCCGTGCGGCCCGAGCCTTCTGCCCAGAACTGGAATCGGGTTACTGCTCTGGACAGGAGCCGTGATGTTGCATGATGGGGGGGGG